TAGAGTTATGAAATCGACGGAATCAGTCGTTAATCGCCTTTTTTACATCGTCTTAGTTTCAATATTCTTCGAGTGAGAAATTTTCGAGATGCGGTGAAAGAGTGATAATTCGGTAGGGCGAATAATGGTTGATAAGTTTGAGGATGGTCGAGAGTTTCATATCCCAACTAAATCAGTTTTCTTGTTGTCATAAATGAAACATGTGGTCGAGCGTTGTCATGGAGTGGGATCGCGCTCTTTCTGTTGATTAATGTCGCTGATTCGTTCGCGTTCAAATTATTTGTGCATTTTTTTGAATTTCTCACAAGCCTTCTCAAAGGATGATTGCTTTCCTTCCTAGAGAGGAACTGTGGATCAACGGTGATTAGACATCCAATATCACCAATGACTTTTTTAGGTGCAACTATACGGCTTTTGGAAAATGTTTAAGAGCTTCTTGTTCAAGGATCGTTTTTGTTCCGCAAAAGATGAGACCAACAGACTTTGAGACGACGAGATTGCTGGTGCTCCGTCAAGTTCGTACAAATACCCTTTCCTCACATTATCAGTTACTAGGCGCTTCCTCTGTAATTATGTGAGCTCGGATCTATGGTCGCGAGCTTGACTTCAAAACCCAATTTCGCCAGTTCGCACTCGTGGAGACTTGCAGAGCTTGTACAAAGTAAGGGATTGCACTATGCTTCCGATGCGAATATAAGTAATATATATAAGTAGATTTGATAGATGCACGATAAAGCGCGCACAAACTAATCGAATAATGCGAAATAACTAATCCTACAATCACTCGCGGTTAGTGCCGATGCATCTATCCCTCTTCGTAATGTGCAATCTGTTTTTTACTCACGTCACCTTTAGACACTCCTAATCATCAATTATCATCTTTGCCCTCCTCACCTTCGTGAATAAGGCGCCTACCCCACCTATCTAAACACTTTTAAACAACGTTCCAGTTGTCTGTTAAAGACCTGTCCATTACGAATTTTGTGACCTTTACTTTTGAGGTCGCCTGCTAACCCCTGTCAGCTTCAGCTCTCCTGCCACCCACCACATGCTCAAGACTAACCCCCTATATCACGACGCGAGTTGTGACTTTGGTGACCCTCCCTTGTTAAAGCGCTTCATTGTAAGCCCCTGTCTGTTATTAATTTCCTAGCCACTCATCAATGATGTTCATGGCCAGCTCCTATATTCGTTCATCAATTTGAGCTCTCTCTGCGGCTAATTCAAAAGGGTTTTATGAATTTTCGGTCAAGCACACGCGCACACACATACTCCTTATCACTGAGACGGAATAGGCGTGGCATTTGAAATGGCGCGTAGAGTGGGTCATACATGATACATTTCAGTTTAGACTTTACTGTCATTTGCCTCATAAGTAATGAGGGAGACATCAACACAGCTGTGTCTGAATGAAGTATATCTCACCGAAAACAATGGTCATCTACGTTCAGTCAAAGGTTACGCAGCAGGCTTACTATATCCTTCTTGATCTTCCAAAACATAAAACTCAAACACTAAACTCAGAGATTATATAATAGGTAGTTTGTATTGTGCTTGCCGGAGGAAGTTCTTGTTCACAACTTCAACTTGGAATCACTTACTTAACTGTCTCGCAGAAAGATATAAGTTTGAGTATAATCACCTATATGTGATCGGAATACCAAGTCCAGAGGAGTCTACGGATGGGATCCCGGCAAAACTCAGCTTTGGGAGTGAGCGCGAAACTCGCATTGCCAGCTACTTCGACCTGCGATCAGGTTTGAATCTTTGCCATTTTATGAGTTAGGTTGAAGAAACCGGTGTTGCGTGAGCAAGATGTGGGCTTTACTGGGGATGAAGAAGAACTGTCCAGCCCTACTGCATCAGCTCTGAATTTTGATCAGCTTTGCAGGTGGTGCGGCCTCGAATAGTCGTATGTGAAGTCAGATTTGAGCTGATTAATTCCTTCCCGTTCAATCACTGATTTGTTTCAGGATTCCTCAGCTTTGCTGAGTGTACATATCGCAGCGAGGCATAATCATTATCGCATTCTCGTTAATTGCCGAAAATATTCGACCGACTTTCGTCCCACCACATGGCAACAGGAATACCGTTCCATGTGGAATCTCCTTTGGAGTTCTCCCGTCGGGCTCTCCCGTCACACAATTGAATTTTCCTAATGGAAATTGTGTAGTAAATGCATTTTCGGCATAATCAGGTGATAAGATGCACTCAAGCACTTGCAACTAGCACCTTCATAAGGTGTACGTGATCCAACATTCCATGGTGTCTCATTGGTACCAGTGTTTTACAGCCGGAGATAATTTGTTGTCTCGAAGACAAGCAACGTTGTGGTCGCCCGAAGAAGGTGCCACATGAGCTGGGCCAGCCTGATGGGGTGTAGTGAACAGAATAACGTGCAGGATTCTTTTCTTTCCCATACAGAGAAGAACGTTCTGGCGGACCGATGGTGAGAGCTAGGTACACTATCCGCTGAATTCCACAAGAAGAGAAGCTGCACACAGTGCCGAAAGTCAGTGTTTATGAGAGGAAGGTTGGGTTGGTCTTTGGTCGGATTGCAGGGGATCTTGACTGGGAGCTGATTGGAATGTAGGCCTGGTAGTGACGGGAACCTCGTTTACTCAGACCAGCTTCAGAAGGTGGCTGGCCGACGTTATGCGCGAAATCCTCCTAGAATGATCCGATCTACCTACTCCACGACAATGCGCGCCCTCATGTGGCGAAGATGACTCGCCAAAAGACTATGAATCTCGGTGGGAAAGTACTGGAGTTGGCACAATAAGTACTTTCGTTTTTTTTTCACCGGAAATTTCGTTCCAAAGATGAAATGTTTTGCTAGCAAGCTTGATATCATCTGATAGGAAACTTCACGTAGTTTGAATATCAAAGGACGCGCTTGCTTGAGTTAATAATTTTTTTGGTTTTTCGTCGTTGAAGTTAGTAAAAGAGAAAGTCGACGAGGAAATTTAGCACCTTCGACAACTGCCTCTATTTACGTATAGTCGAAGTGCTAAAATCGCTTAAGCTGCTCCATACATTTGGGAAAGGTCGAGCTAGAAGTTCCAGCAAGGGAATCTCACTAGGACGCTTTGGAACGAATTTCAAGAATTTTGAAGTTACCAACCTTCACCTCGCCGATATTGGGCAGCTCACGTCTGTTCCACCTGAAATTTTATGCTAATATTTGAATGTTTCGCTGATATGTTTGCATGTTCTGATAGCAAATTTCTTTGGCTCTGATAAAATAGTTAATAGAAATCTGTTATTACGCAGAGGTGTTTGCTTTCTGTTAAGTTCAGGTTATCATTACTGGAACGGCGAAAGTCGTTGAGAACTAGCGTTCCCGTTCTCCACGAATTTTATGCTAACATTTGAATGTTTCGCTAATGTGTTCTATATGTTCTGATAGCCAATTTCGTGCTCTATAACACTGCGTTGCAGTTATTTTGAAAATCCGTTTGATGAACCTTGTTTTCCAGGTGGATAATATGGAATGTCAGGTCGATAAGCATCAGCACTTCAGAACAAGCCTCACGGGAGGCCTCCTTTTTCGCATTCAACAGAGGTATCAGTACCATTCTTGAAGCGTCTGAACCAATTTTGGGCTGTTTTGAGAGAGAGGGCATCTTCTCCGTACACTTCGCGAATTTCCCGAGCAGCATCAGCAGCTCTGATACCTCTGTTGAATGCGAAAAGGAGGAGATGTCTGAAGTGCTGATGCTTATCGACCTGACATTCCATATTATCCACCTGAAAAAAGGTTCATCAAACGGATTTTCAAAATAACTGCAAGCGCAGTGTTATAGAGCACGAAATTGGCTATCAGAACGTATAGAACACATTAGCGAAACACATTCAAAAGTTAGCATAAAATTCGTGGAGAACGGGAAACCCTAGTTCTCAACGACTTCGCGTTCCGTAATGATAACCTGAACTTAACAGAAAGCAAACACCTCTGGAGAACAGATTTCTATAGCAGTGTTATAGAGCACGAAATTTGCTATCAGAACATGCAAAACATATCAGCGAAACATTCAAATATTAGCATAAAATTTCAGGTGGAACAGACGTGAGCTGCCCAATATCGGCGAGGTGAAGGTTGGTAACTTCAAAATTCTTGAAATTCGTTCCAAAGCGTCCTAGTGAGATTCCCTTGCTGGAACTTCTAGCTCGACCTTTTCCAAATGTATGGAGCAGCTTAAGCGATTTTAGCACTTCGACTATACGTAAATAGAGGCAGTTGTCGAAGGTGCTAATTTTCGCCGACTTCGCTTTCAACTTCAACGACTAAAAAATCCACAAAATTATTCCCTCAACCAAAGCCGTTTTGATATTCTAAAACTACGTGAAGTTTCCTATCAGATGATATCAAGCTTGCTAGCAAAACATTTCATCTTTGGAACGAAATTTCCGGTTGAAAAAAAACGAAAGTACTTATGTGCCAACCCAATACTTTTCCACCCTGGCGCCTTGATTACTACCATTTTCAGAAAACTCTCAATCACCACTCAGAAAATGAAAATTTGATTATTGAGGACAACTCGAAATGAAATCGGCGGCTTTTTTTCCTTCGCAATCTCCCGAACTGGAGGAATGGGATTGAGAGTCGTCCGAAAGATGGGCACGTGTCCTAGATATTAATGATTACTACCTCCGTTAGTTGAACATGCCGTTTTTTGGAATCATATCCAATTCAAGATTTCATCCGAAATGCCGCAGGATTTTCTTTCCAACTTAATAGTAATACGTTACTAGTTTAGCAACTTGGCTTTAAGGCATTTCCAGTTATCATGATCTCCTATTTATTACAGCATTGCAAAACATGTTTAGGAAATCTAGAGCATTTCTCTCCAAACCGCGACGAGAAGGGGCGAGAAATTAATGCGAATGAATTGCGGTTGGGATTTAACACGAGTAGTGAGTAGTCTTCAGAAGATGCTATAGTAGAACTCGAGTTCTCCATAACGACTGATTGAATTTCCGAAGGCAGAAAATAATATTCAAATGATTTCTGCTTTGTATTGCGTAAATACCTTTTGTTTAGTTAGCTTCCAGTCTACGATAATTTCAGCAATGTTCACATTCTCATCGTTAATTTGGTTCAATACGTCCGGTAGACTGCCATTTGTAGCAACGGGAAAGTCGTCCAAGTCGAAATTAGCTATGAATTTAACGTTGGACCTAAAGAAAGGAAGGTCAATCTTGTAACCTCGGGAATTATCATAACCTGAAACTGTTTGTGGTAGATAGGGCAAGTGTTCGAAAATGGGGCAATGCTAGTAAGGTAGTTGGAGGCACATTCGGAATCCCCATTACTCATTCTCATTCGGAAACTTTTACACAAATTCGAAACACATCATCCCGATGAAGGGAGAGAGCATGGTTTGATTTGGGCATGCTCCATCGATTTCGTCGTCCTAGCATGAGCCGAGCTAGGCACCACACAGAGGCGGTGAGAAGGTATACTTCTAATAGCAAGAAAGTTTTCTCCATGCGAACAGACACTTTCATTCGAGAAAGTCAACACGAACGGACCTAATGGTGGTGAAGTCTGCTCCTCCACGTGGTGCCACTGAGAACTGCTCGTCTCTGCGAGCTTAGATAACGCAGACATTCAAACGCAGGTGACAGGCCTTCGTGACGGGCCGACCTACGAACACCCATGACATGATCATGTTCAAAAGTTTCCGAATTATATGGAACACGTAATGTCGATGGCGAACGCATCCTGAAATACGCAGAAGCCCATAACTTTGTCATCATGAGCACAAAGTTCCGTAAACGCGATCCCACCTAATCACCTTCTACAGCGGAGTGGCCAGAACAGAAACAGACCTTGTTCTGGTTAAGCAGCAATAAGGGCGTCGAGAAGGTCGTGCCGCATGCGAAAGTCGCCAAGTAGTATCGCCCGCTAATTTGCACGCTGAAGACACACCCGCACAGCTGCCGACACGAGGTGGAGCCGCTCGCTGTCCGAAGCGAACTGAATGGTGGCATTTGAAAGCGAAAGGAAGCAGCGTGGTCTCTCGTATTCCTTTACCAAGGGTCACAACTATCGACGAAACCTGTTGCCAACGCGATCGTTCAGGCCGCTCCCTTAGAACTTAGAACAACGAAACCTGGGAGGAAGAATTGACAAGCGGCATTTGTGGACTGACGACATCAGACAAAGTAGAGGCGCTATCACATGTTTTTGGAGACGAGTCAGCCAACAGCTGGCAAAAATATCAGGCATTATCACAAAAGAATGCTGGCAAAGAAGGCTGTGGCCGCTGTAAAAGCCGCTCACTTCAAGGACGTCCGCAAGAAGCTGGAAAAAGCCCGATGGCGCGCATTTACCGTCTTGCCAAGGCCCGTCACCGCCAGATTGAGAGTGTGAAAGAAGTTCCTCGTCATTAACAACGAGGAGGGTCGTCTTCTGATGGATCGAGAGAAGGAGCTAAGGCGATGACGCTACCACTTTGAGGAATTTCTACAGTAGAATATGCATACGCAACCATACCTCATGCACCCACCAGTACATGGTCCCGTTCAGAGATAATCGTTAAGGAAACAGAGGCGGCTCTCGAGAAAATGAAGCCACGCAGGGCAACAGGCCGCGAAGATGTGCTGTCGAAATCTGGAAGTCACACTGTTGCTATTCTGCTGAGTGGTTGACGAAGTTCTTCAACCAGTTTCTCGCAGAGAAGAAGACGCCCGAAGGATGACAACAGAGCACAACGGTTCCGATCTGGAAGAGAAGGCAGCCATGCAGACTGCCCAAATTATCGTCCAATTCGCTTGCTCTCGCACAGCATGAAAATTTTTGAGCGAATTGTTGATAAGCGTATCCGTGATATCGTCCAGCTCTCTACCAACCAGTGTGGCTTCGTGACTGGCTGTAGCACCATCGATGCCATACATGCCGCTCGCCTCTTGCTGGAGAAACATCGTGAGAAGAAGAAGCATGTCCATCTAGCCTTCCTTGACCTAGCGAAGGCATTAGATCGTGAGTTATATGGTACGCTCTACGACAGCACGGCGTTCCCAAGAACTGATTGTGTGGGTGCGCATCCTGTATTCCAGCCCAACGAGTCGCATGCGAACATTTCAGGCACTTCGATCAGATGGAATTTTTTATCACAGTGGGGGGAATAAGGCTTTGCGCTCTCCCCGCTCCTCTTCGTTGTCGTCATGATGTCCATTTCACGGGACCTTCAGAAGCCGGCTTCCTTGGACGCTTCTCTACGCTGACGATGTGATGCTCGCCTGCGAGGATAAGAATGGTCTCGAGGAACAAGTGCAAGCTTGGTCTGAGCGTTTGGCGAATTTCGGACCGATATTGAACGTCAAGAAAACCGAGTACTTGACTCGAACGAATGTGGTTCCCTTACCATTAGAGTTGGCGGGAACGAGCTAACTCGTATGACAGCTTTCAAGTATCTCAGATCACCGGAACAATTAGGTCTGATGGCAATCTGGACTCGGAAGTGAGCTCGCGTGTGAGTGCAGCCTGGTCTAAGTGGCGCTCTATGACTGGCGTTCTTTGCGACAAGACGATACCAGATCGCCTCAAATCGAAGATCTATAGGACTGTCGTTAGACCTGTCGCGATATACGGCGCTGAATGCTGGGCTGCGACCAAAGAAGTGGAAGCTAGTCTAGGAGTGATGGGGACGGAAATGGTGCGCTGGAAGATTGATAGTTGGCATTAACTTGTAAGCACGTGGATGACTGAATAATGCAACACATTAGGGGCGTTTGTATCTTCTTCTTCCTTCTGCGAGAAGTGTTCTGCGACCTGTACGGCTACCCAGGGATGGGCGACTTCGGTCAAAAAAGCCAGTAGTAATGTCAGAGTAGCTGTGGAAAAACAGCACGTAGGCTGAGGAAGAGAAGCGATTGATGCTGGTGGTTCACAATAAAATCTCACCATTAGCACAGTCATGGTCCTTGCCAAGTAGAGAGCGTGAAAGCGGGCGTGACTGGAGAGGTGCCGGGACTGCTTTCTTCACCGGCAATAATTGGTGGAAAAGGCTACCCTGGTTATTCTCCATCTCACGCCCTTCCACAAGCCTTCTCCTTTACAAAGATAATGATTGTATAGACTCCTGTCTTTCTTCTGCGATCATTACTTGTTATGCAGTAAAGGAACTTCACTTCCATCAAGATCTCCTGCGAATATTCAAAGCAAAAAACCCACCTGGCTCTCAGCATGCAATCATGCATGAAAGCTATGGCTGCGTGACGAAATACTCTGCTGTTCGGATCTTTTGTGTAACTGCCACGATCGCGTTCTTGTACTGGCAGATCAGACCAGCCGATCAGTTCGAAATTCCTTCCCAGCTTTCGTTTGTAGAACTCCAGCACTGCTCGTACCTCAATAATAATTTTTTAGGGAAAATACGATGTTTTATAGTGAAGACAAACTTTGTGTTGCGCCGCAAGGCCGATAACAAGGCTGAAGTGAAACTACAAAAATTCAACCAAAAACCATTTGATGGCGCGTACTTCGCACTCAGTTAATATCCTACGCTCATACCCACATCCTCATAGTCTTGCTCGCTGCAAATGATGGGGTGTGTCGAGGGAAGGGCTGAGTTTGCTGCGGCGCTAGCCCGTGCTCCACCAACAAGCGAGAACAATGGGTGGAAAACAGGGTTGACATCACCTCGAACCCAGCCCGTTGACACGCTGCAGCATCTGCAGTGAACAAGACTGTACCACCTGATTTGAGAGGAGACCAACATGATGAGCAAAGCCTAAAACTGGGAGACGGGCAAGAAAATCGCAATCCTCCGCTTCGTCGCGCGCAATAATGCCGTTTTCTTAATTTACGCTACCCTTTCAGCATCGTATCATGTAGGCGCCACGTGCGCTGCATTCGCACCAAGGCTTGATTTCTGCGAAAGTGCTGCAGTATTTCGACTCTACTCAACTGCAATTTCCTTGCTAGTTTGGGCGAAAATGGCAGTAAGGATTCGATACTCTACGCTTCCTATACAACACTTACCGTAAACCCGTTCAGCAACGGATGTAGAACGGGCTGGCGGTGCGCCGAGCACAGCCCCACTGACCCGCCCCGTCATCCGCAATGGCAAAACTGAACAAACAGCCAGTAATGTGCACGCAGAATGAAACGTTGCTCGAAAATGAAGAACCGAAAAGACACGAGATGAAGATTAGCACACGCGCCAAGGGGCTCGACCCAGTAATACTTACCCTCGCTTATACATGAGTGTGAAGACCAGACAGGGCATTCATAGTTAGGGAAGAGTTTCATGAGTAACCAGACGAAGATTTTTTTCACCCTCCTTTCTCTTTTCTTGATGGTGTGTCAATTTTATTCCA